ATTGTCTGTATTCTCCCTAACTCCCTTGTGGGAATATTTGAAGAATTTTGGCAGAATATTTTGAGGATCATAGAGCGAAAAGGGGAATACTTGAGGTAGAGAACAGGAATATTTGGGGTGTTGTTTTGGACCATTCTCCCATTATCCGTCAAAGGGAATCATTTTTGTTTTCAGTGTATGCATTCCGTCTCCTTTGCTTAGCCATGTTAAAGGATAGGGCGCAATTGGATTCTAATTGCGCCATCCCCCTGGCGCAATTTACAGCAGTTGTTGGTAAATGCGCCCTTTTGCATGTTTCTGAAAAAGCAGCTGTCAGAAGCAAACGAAACATTCTTAATTGATCGGGAGGCCCTTAAATCGTAGCCAATGAGTTCCTCTTTAAAATGGTTACCAGTGCATGCTTACATCTCCAGTGGTTTTCTTACAATTAGCGTTTTTCCTTAAGGTGGCGCAATTCACCCTCCTTTCCCTAAGCCCGTATTGTATTGTTTCTTTTATTTGGCTGTCGAACATTATTTATGGTTTGAAATATGATTTTATGTAAAATAATTGATATGAAAAAGCCGTCTTATAAGTTATGACCCCATTTCACCACACGCAAGTGGCAGAAATGACAATGATCAGCTGACGCATTTTTCTTGGCCGAAGTCAGAGCGCGCGGCCCGACGCACCACGCGTATTTGGAAATTCCGACCTCGACGAGCATCAGAAGCCACCTAACAGGCGTGTTCGAAACCGCAGGAGATGATGATGAACGGGTTTATCGAAACTTGATTGGATGAGCATATCGGTAATAGCGATTTCAGTGTGTGCATTTATTGTTCATAGTGGTGTGAAATGTGGTTGGGGTACGACCGACAACCCGTCGGGGCGAATTTCGCACTGGGGTACTCAAAATTTGAAGAATTTAAGACGTTTCCATGAGTTTTGAAGGTATGGGTAAGTTCTAAAAATCCGGTTCTCCTTATCTGGGCCATTAACTCCATACGGTCCAAGAAAGCTGGCACACTACCTTTAAAGGGACACTCCCACCTTAACATTAGTTTTGAGTTGAGATAGCCAAATTGGTGGCCATGGCCTGCAAATACCGGTTTGGGCACTCACAACATCGAAAAATGCTTTAATTCGAAGATATGAAATTTCAAACTTGCAGTTTTCGGATTCTAAGGGGCTAATGCATTGGAATGCCCCCTTAGAATTTGTGACGTCAGCGGAGATCTAACGATTTTTAAATCTTAGACTAAAACCATCGTTAACACGTGGTGGTATACACTGCTTTGCGCGCAACGTCTGCCGCACTTTAAGGCTGCCAAATTATTGCTTCCAAATAAAGTCGCTAGTAACAGGGGAGATCCCAAAAAGTAAACAAAAGTAGAAGCCTAATATCTTGAAAACCAGTGAATATTTTTCGGTGAAATTTGGTAGATATTCGTTTTCGCTCTTTCTGAACCAAGGGACATCACTTTCATGCCAATTCATTAACTTTTTTGAAGGTGGGATGGGAGGGTCCCTTTAACATATCGAGACGATTTGCAGTTTGCACAGATTATCCGGCAATTGGCATGCCTTCATATGCCTGATAGACGCATAACTACGTGCCTTATAAGATGACGTGACAGGTCTCTGTCACCCGTGACACATCTCACTCTCCCATACGGCCAGTCGCCTGTGGCTCCTATGCGTTCGTCCGGACACGGTTGACCGGCTGTGACTTGGCTCAGTGCAGTGGCTGGCCGGCGCTGGATCTCGGAGCATTCAGCTCCGTTAGAACGTCCATCATTAGTGGAGCGAGACGCGCTCAGATACTGATAGGCAGCACGGAAAGAGACAGAGCCGAGGTGGCACGAGAAGAGGCTGAAGTCAGTACACAGAGCGATCAGGACAGCATTGAGAGGGACCGGGTCAGCAGTGGGCAAACGGGACGACGGACGGTGATATAGAAAAAAAAGCCCGTTGCCTGAATATCTACGTTTTCCAGTGTAGCTGGAACTTGGATAGCCACCTTGCGGAAATAAGGCATGCATCAGCTTTTTCTGTTGATGGAGTCAGACGTTGCGTGTGCGTTTGCAAACAAGATCCTAGATGACTTAGCGGTATTACCTAATATCGGATGCTTAAAAGTCGTAAATAGGTATCAGACTCTAGTTCTTTGGTCATGAGCTATAACCATCAAACGGTTCACAAAAAGTGGCATAGCCGTGACGGTGGTTATCTAACGCAATTCAATGCGTTATCATCGTAACGTCATCGACGGCCATTAACCCCACGACCCGACGATGTCTCAGAGTGGTCTGATAATGTCCTCATGGCCCTGGTCGTTCAGTATTCTGAATCGCGCTCGATTGGAGGTGCGCCAGTGACCGTGAATTGCAGCGAGCTTCCGCGGTGATTCCTGAGTACCTAAGGTGAGCGAAATGCGGGGATCTGCGCACGGACAGCTGAACCAAATCCCTCCGGAGTGCGTCCTGAGCCCAGTGGAGATGCAGGCGTGCCAACTAATTGATTCCCGTGACCGGCAGTCGGGCGTTGCGTGTCGAAAAACGGGCCAGCGATGCACGCTTCGTCTGATGCATCAACAAAATGGGCAGCGGGAGCGAGAGCACACGCTTCGATCAACTATCCGGTCACTCAGGTCAGCTGCAGTGAAGTTGTGTCGCCTCCAAAAGAACCGAGAGAAGAACTAACAAGCATGTGTAAGCGAGTGACGGTTCGTAAGCCCGTTACTTTTTTTGTCCAGGGTTTACCTTATCGAGTCAGTGTCGTGTCAATAGTTGTGGGCAACCATCAGTGGATGATGCAGCCTTGCATGGGAAAAGGTGTTTGGACAGAAAAGTCACATGTCTCATATGTTTATAGCCTACATAAGAAGCAGGCAAACACGCATGGAAGCCGCCTGGACAGGTCGATTAGACAAACTAATAACCCGTTGCCTTCCTTTGTCTGCCGTCGTCAGCTCATGTCAATGCATATCGGGGACGGGTAGCCGATAGTAGCGACATTGCGCACACCTCCCCCACCGTCTACATACGTGTATGTATACTACCGCGCGGCCCCTCCCGGTTGGGTTCGCACGGACACCCATCGTCATTGTGCGGACATGACTAATGCATCGGCGGGAGAGTGTCGGCCGCTGGTCCCGACGCGAGGCGCAGAGTGGGTACAAATTGGCGGGTGTCGATGGGTGAGCTCGCTGTGGGTGTTATTGGGCCAAGAGGAGCGCCCTGGGATCGCCCCAGACCGGGAGGAAAATGGTAGAACTCGGCGAAATAAGATTCAAATGGTGTGCAGCACAAGGCAGGTAATATCCCGAATGCCGTCATCATGAAAACGCTGTTTTACATGCAATGTACAATACACAATATTGCTTGGAAGATGTCGGATAGCTTTGAATATTATCTTAACTGTAGGGTATGGACTTTCTTTCATTGGTGTGTCGAATTACGACTTACTTCTAAGTCGTAATTTACCTAATCCTCTAACCAGTTCTAGGAAAATACTGCCATATATTGTCCTCAGAAGGACAAAACGGACACGGAAAAATTGCTCCACCAATGACTCGGACTAAAGCTACAAAAATCGCATACAAAACCCGAGCCGGAGGAAAGTACCGCCTCACGAAGTGTAGCGCGGCACGTCGGGCCAATGTACCGGCAAAGACAAGGCGCCGGCGGCAGTGACGCATGGTGTGGAGCGGGCGGCACCTTCCGAGCCCGGTAAACCGCGACCGACGCCATATACCCGATACTCTGAAATCTGTCAGAGGTAAAGCACTGACTGACTGCGTGTAGGAACGCGCGTTTTTGGTGTCTGAGGTATCAACAGGAAACGAATCGGTGACGCAGTATCCGCAGTCGATTTACTGGGACAAAAGTCAGAATGATTAGTGCCTAAAATATGACCTCTAGCGCTCTTTCAACTGAGAAAGCAAAATAATTCGAATCGTCTGTAATGAAAATCTCAACCGATGGGATGCCTGGAATGTGTATGACGGTTTCGATGCGCCCTGTCACGACTTGACACGACTTGCCGGTACACGAGTATGATAATATTTAACACGAATGTGTTCTGTCTGTACCACCAACCGTGATCAGATCCACAGTAAATGTGAGAAACAACGTCCAATCGAATGCCGAAATGCTTGGAAACAATTTACCAAGTGCATCGCCGATGCCTACGAACCCTAAACCGAAAACAACCACGTAACCCACCCAGTCCGCTTCGCATTCCAAACTCGCACCTGCATGGGCGCTGGATGGTTCCACCCAGGGCACTAAAGTTCCACCTTGGTTCCACCTCTCGGGTCACAGCACCAGGACATGAGTGCGGCGCTCTTTATATGGACCGTCGACTCGGGCACTGCGGGCAGCTGACTCATGACTCATGAGGGTCTAAGTATCGAATATATTCAGAATATAATGTAGTTAAACACTTGATGAGAAGGCACTGGTGCCGTTTAGAAGTTAGAACAAGTTACAACTTACAACAGAAATAAAAACAGCCTTCGCTGTACTTGATCTATACCAAAAATTAAAAACAATCGAATAGTACTGAACTGAATAAAATTCACGCACATTTAACCGTTCTGGATCACAGAGAGCTCATTTCACCACCAGAAGGGCCTGAAGTGTTGCTTAGTTTTGACGCGTTGCTCGTCACGTCCGTTATGTTACTTATGTGGAGCTTTTGTGGCATAAATATTATGTGGTTGTAAGCTATAGCGCTTCGTCCATGGAAACGTATGCGTACAAAATATATACCTAACAAAAAATATACCAACATAGAACTGTAGAAAGTAGCACAATAGGTCACGGATGTGTTCATCATTTCATCGTGATCTACATTGTATCGATGGCCTGTGCGAGAAAACAGTCCTCAATACACATCAGAAAGTACATCGGTAAACCGCGCGGAGCAGTGCAGGCTGCAACGGTGAGGCCGAGCGGCGCGTGCCGCACGTGCAGTGTGCAGTGTGCACCCTGCAGCCGGCGGGATGGACTCACCTCCAGGGGACGAGCTGCCGCCAGCGGCGCACCACGTGCGTGATGACCTCCTTTACCATAGCGGTGCCGGTGTCGGCCGAGCGGCCGCGCGAACACAACCACCAGCGCACCTCACGAACGGAACGGTCACGAGCAGCCAACGATCACGGACAGACGGACTCACGACCGGGCGGAGCGGCCGACTGACGGCGGAGGGTCGCAGGCGCGGCTGCCGGGCAGTGGGAGTGCAGCTCGGTGTTCCTCGGACACTGTCCGCCGGCAGAGTGACGCCCGCGTCGACAGTGCGCGCCCGCCCGCCCTCCGACCGCCAGCGCCGCCCGCTGGAAGTGACGACTCCGGCGACCGCCGCCGGCCGGCGAACCGCTAGGTCGCCGCCGCAGAGCGCATGCGCAACGCCCCGGCCGTTACCTAGACGGGCGCAGACCGAGACCTAGTTCGGCTGAGACACCAATTACCGGCCGATGGACCGACTGCGGCCTACACAGTTCACTGCTGACACCGCCGTTGCTGCAGTGGAGCGGGATATGGTTTTTCCCCCGCCTCAAACTTTCGCCATCGTGCGAGAGCGGTCATCGCAGTTCATATGGTCCAAATTTCGCGAGGCGTTTGTCACACACCGAGGTGGGACTGACTGAAGGGTTGTGAATCAGCTCCATCCGATTGGGATCGCTCGGAGACCCTCCAATTTACTGCAGCGACTTCGGATGGCCCGTGCATACCCTTGGCGCGTTACGGTAGGCATTCATGAACGGCAGGGCCGTACAAGACGTTACTCAAATAAAGTAATATTAAAAAATACATTGCGGTTCATTCAAAAAATGCAAATGCAAGCCCGATGCTAGCTACGCCAACTGAACGATTACCTACTATGATTTCTAGCTTGATCGATAACGATGACGGTGCCTGGGAAAACATATGTGTAGGCACTAGGCAGTAGGCACCTATCGTTTTTATATCGGTTGGCAGTGATCTACTGATATGGTGAGGTCAATTAGTGACTCCTCCATCACAAGTCATAGCTCTTGAAGCGAACACCACCCTAGACGATAAAAGCCCACCATTATAGCTCTAGTTCAAAATGAAAAACTTTTGTATCGGATAGGATTTGTTAACCCGTGCCGTGCTGGTGGCTTGAGTTTTCCGTGTCGTGCTGGGGGGGGGGGGGGGAGACGTTTCACGGCTCACGCCCCCCGTCTAACTCGGCTCCTGGGCCACGTAGCGACACGCAGCAAGCGGCAATCGGAAGAGCGTAAAAAATATTGGCGGAATTGCTTCCGTCATTTCTAAGGTCAGGTCAAATGTCAGGTAAACAGAAGTCATCAAAAGTAAAACTTTGTCCATTTCAACAATTTTGGAAACTGCCAACGGTTAACTCGGGAACCAAAGAGTTACAGCGCCGCGGAGCGCATTCGATAGCCCTTTTAAAGATCTTTTTAAGCATTGTTCTCAGATTTGACCTTACGTCACAGATATCGAAAATCCGAGATATAAATTTTATATATACTGCTACGTTACTCGCGACGCAAGCTTACGACGCCGACATATTACGTTACTCAATCGCTGAAAGTTTCAAAGTGATCGTTTTGTCCGTGTAGCTACATGCAGTGAGCCTTTGAACTTTTTCTGAGGTAAGGTCACTTGACGTGACCTGGTGACCTGACCTTGAACGACCCGGGTCTGAAATTTTCACAACATGTGGGGAAAATGTGTTAACAGGTGTATACTTAGAAACGGTGGCGCTGCACGCCGCTGTTTTGTAGATATTCTCGAAAAAACACGCCCCCCGCAGCACGGCGCGGGCTTATGCGATGTTTGCACGCATAAGTAGAAAAGTTTGCTAATTGTTAACACTTTTATAAAGCATTTACATTTTTCAAGCTCATGACACTGAAAAGGATGATATGGAAATGATGCGTATGCAGATTGTAAACGGATTTGATTGATTATGCTCGGGAGGGTATAGTTATTTTATGAGAAAACCTTGACATAGAAGTTACGAGTACTTGGGAGGCTAGGTACATAAGTTCATATTCATATTCCTGCCCCTGCGAATGATTCTTTAGCACTGAGATTGGAGGGCGTTGCGAAGTTGTGACAATATTGGACCGTTCGAAGGTTGATTTATGACGTCATAGGACTAAGGCGAGAAAGCTGACCCTATCTTATAATGCGGTCGATGTCACAAGACCCGGCTTGAATCAAAAGTCGCCTATGTCAACTTGCAGCTCTCCTTTGTCAACTCGTTCTGAGCAATCACGAAGAAAAAAACGATGGGTGACGGCAACCCTTTAGGCCGGAGAGGGTTGAATAATAATCTAAAGTCGTTATAAAATTATTAACTCGCGCCCTGGTGGGGTCTGTTTATAACGCGACCTGGTGGGGGGGGGGGGGCTATTTTTTGCCCCCCCCTCGTATCTCCGAAACTACTGGACCGATCCGCACAATTCAAACGGCGTTCGAAAGGCCTGTCAAATTTGTCGAAGGAAACCAAATTTCATTGACCTCGGGGTCACCGATGACGTCACAGGTCAGGTCAAAGATGAAATGTTTCACCGTTTACGGGTCTTCTAGGGAATGCGCTATAACACCGAGGAAAACGCATTTTGTCGAGAATCAGCGATAAGGCGTCAGTTGCCTAGTAGATATGTTGCTATTAGAGGTCACTGACAATACCAGGTCACGTCACAGGTCAGGTCACCAAGGGTCACAGGTCAGGTCACATGAGCCCAACTTTACTAAGGTTGTGTGATGCATGTTTTATGGCCAATTTTTCATTTCCAACTCAATGGTGTTGGTTATAAGACTATCAGGTACGGCTTAGGTCACTTTCTGGTAAAGTTCAGGTCAAGGTCAGGTCAAGGTCAGGTCAAGGTCAGGCCAAAAAAGGTCAAATTTTAAAGTTGATAGATTTGCATAAAATGGGTAATGATTCGATGCTTCTCGTCACGGGGAGTCTAATGGTGGTCTTTGTTTTGCGCTACGGGGTCTAGAATTGCTAAAAATTGAGTTTGAAAATTTGACGTCATCAATTTTGAACAGTTTTTTCGCTTTAACTCCGCCAAAAAAAGAGTTATCAATCTCAAATTTGGTATGTGGATGGAAGGCGGTAAGGACTATCACATATAATCCGGTTTTTGCGAAATTTAAAACACTTTTTGGATTTTTCGATCATTATATCCAAAAAAATTATTTTTTGATTTAAGGGGGTCAAAATCCAAAAACTTCAAAAATCCGAGATAGCAGTTTTGTAGCCCTGCCGATTCTACATCTTTTATGTCATTATCATTTTTCTGTATTTGCAAAGCTATAGGCCTGAAAGCTCTTCCCGCGAAACCCTTTTTTGGGTCGAAAACGGCAGAACATGACGTCACTCTGACGTCATTTCCGGCCAGCCTATCATAGCCTTTGGAAAAAATTTTGGTCACCATGTGTAAAATTGATGTCCGGGAGGGTACTGAAAGTTTGGTGACGATCGGCGCAGCGGTTCTGGAGATATATTGAGAAGTCTGGAGGGGGGGGGGGCAAAAAATAGCCCCCCCCCACCAGGTCGCGGGTTAAGTTATCGTAAATCGTTAGTCGTTTTATCGAAAATGGATACGATGCATAGTTAAAATGCCCGACGATTTATTCGTTTTTTTCTAGAGGGCGTTATAACCAAACTTTCCAAATTCCAATTATAGGTAGGAAGCAATATTTTTGAAAATATCTCTTTACAAAGCTCTCCTCCTGGACATGAGTCAAATTAAACCGCATGCAATTAAAAGAACACAACTTGGTATTAGGAATAGGTAGGTAATGGAATTCTTATCTAACTTAGATAAACGTAATACCTTATTAAAAAAGAAACCCTTCATCTAATCGTTAATATGGCTATCAGCCCTTGAAAAGGCGAATTAAGCGGTACGCTGGGATTTTTACGCATCTTGTTGAGCTTAAACGATTTGAAGACTGACGCTGTACTATTATCTAAAACTCAATTACGATTTAAGTATTAGAAACGATATAATATAAGTCATTGCTACATTTTACTATTGTTTTTCCTAGCAATTTCAACTTGTCCAACGTTCAATTTCAGCTTGATTCCATTTACTTTTGTAATTTGTAATACCAATTTAATAAGTTGTAACATTTAACCCTATTCCTGGCGGGGGGGGCCTCAGGAGCCCCCCCCCCTGAGGTTTTTTGGTTATTTCTCCCAAACGCGTTGAGCTAGGAAGCTCAAATTTTCTGACTTTTCCTAAAAGGCTTCTACGCAACATGTCTGAAAATTTTGAGTTGATCTGACCTCAGGTCAGGTCACCAGAGGCGGTTTGCTGACCCTACCTCAGAAAAGTTTGCAATCACGCCAGAGCTAGATTTTTTGACCGATCAATTTCTTCTCTTCAGGCTTTAGTTAGGGTACCAGTATGTGCAATTTGTATATCTCGGAATTTTGATATCGGTGACCTAAGGTCAGGTCAGTTTCGCGACCTCCCCATTATAAGTCAATGGGGGAAAAATCAACTCCCTGTTTTTACCACTAAAACGGGTCGGAATGGCCCCATATACCACACATGACTTCATATACGATCAACCTTCACTACCTTGAGGTCTGTTTTGCTGTTGGGCAGCTGTGAGGTCATGTGACGTCATCAAAGGTCACCAAAGGTTTTTTGCCAATAACTCCGTACAGGAGCAAGATACAGACGCGTGGATGGTCTCATTGTGTTCAGCTCGTCAAGACGCATCGAATGATATACATGATGACCTCGAGGTCACGTGACCTGAGGTCAACCTTTGACCTTGACCTTTCGAGGTCAACATATATATCATTCGATGCGGATTGACGAGAGGATCACGATGATGCCCTTAGTTTGTTCCTATCTTGACTAATTCGAAAGTTATTCGAGAAAAACTCTCTCCATATCTAGCGCCGCCATTTTGACTTTTTCGACCCCTGTGACGTCATCTTTGACCTGACCTGAAAATGACCTTAGTAAAAATTGTAGACCTTGTCCATGCGTATCCGATGCCGTTTACCGCTTGTCGCTATCTTGCTTCGTTCTCGAGATCTCAGGGGGGGGCCGAATCGCCCCCCCCCCCCGCCAGTTTCTTGTCCCGGCGGAGCCCGCCAGGAATAGGGTTAATCGCAATTTGAATCCATTAGAAACGTTTCCTTACGATCCTTTTCCTTGATCCTTTACGATCCTTTACTGTATCTTGTTTCCAACCCTCAGTTCGAGAAGCTATGGGTGGTCGAACTATAGGGGAAGTTGGGGGAACGCCGAATACTTTTTTTCTGACGCCCGTAGCACGCAAGGTAGACAACATAAGCTATTCTTGTTGGCGTCATTCGAGAGGCCA